TGAAAAAAAAAAAAAAGAGAGGAAAATATTTTCAAAACAAGAGAATACGAAAAAAGTCTAATACTTTAATAAATAATATTAATAAGTTCCCAAAGAGGGGCAACTTGGGTGGCTCAGTCGGTTAAGCATCTGGCTCTTGATTTCGGATCAGGCCATGATCTCACAGTTCATGAGATTGAGCCCAACTGTCAGGCTCTGTGATGATGTGCAGAGCCTGTTTAGGATTCTCTCTCTCTCTCTCTGTCTCTCTATTTCCCTCTCTCTCTACCCCTCCCTCCCTCTCTCTCTCAAAACAAACAAAACAAAATAATATAATCCCAAAGAAACACTGTTCTAAATAGTGACAAGAAAAAAGGAAATGATGGTTTGATCACACTATGCATTAATTAATATTTATAGACTAGACTAGAAAATAGAACACTTCAACCATATGCCTTTTTAAAATTCTGGATTACAAGCTAGTAACTTACAGAACTTTGTGAACCCTCCCTCCATTCTCAATAACTTAACACCCTTCAATTCTAGAGCATGGCTTTGGTACTAGAAAATACTGGTTTGAGAACCAGCTCTGACCATCAGTTTCACCATCTGTAAATTGCAGATAATAATGCTATCTACTTCATAACGTTGTTAATGTGATGATGTACATAAAGCAGTGAGCAGGGGCGCCTGGGTGGCTCAGTCGGTTGAGGGTCCGACTTCAGCTCAGGTCATGATCTCACGGTCTGTGAGTTCCAGCCCTGCGTTGGGCTCTGTGCTGACAGCTCAGAGCCTGGAGCCTGCTTCGGATTCTGTGTTTCCCTCTCTCTCTCTGACCCTCCCCCGTTCATGCTGTCTCTCTCTGTCTCAAAAATAAACATTAAAAAAAAATTAGAGGGGCGCCTGGGTGGCACAGTCGGTTAAGCGTCCGACTTCAGCCAGGTCACGATCTCGCGGTCCGTGGGTTCGAGCCCCGCGTCGGGCTCTGGGCTGATGGCTCAGAGCCTGCAGCCTGTTTCCAATTCTGTGTCTCCCTCTCTCTCTGCCCCTCCCCCGTTCATGCTCTCTCTCTGTCCCAAAAATAAATAAACGTTGAAAAAAAAAAAAATTAGAAAAAAAAAAAGAAAGAAAAAGCAGTGAGCCAAGTCCCTGGCAAATATAAGCACTTCATTTATTCATCCAACTACGACTTATTTCAGTTCCTACACTATGCCAGGCACTGTTCTAGGAACTGGGAACAAGTGGTGAAGAAGACACATTAAAAAACGTGCCCTTGTGACACATTCTAGTGAGGAAGGCAGACAATGAACAATTAACTAAGCACATATACATATTCTGATGTCAGAGAATGACACGTGCTATATAAAGAAAACTAAATCAACCTAAAAAGATTAAGAGGAATGGAAGGCACTATTTCAGAAAGGTCAGTCAGGCAAGGCCTCTTTGAGGACAGGCTATAAGAATGTCAGCTAGTAGTAGTAAGGAATTGCTTATAGTTTCTACTCCTTTAATGATGATGGGGTTCCAGTGGATTATTAATCAGACATTTATGGGGCACTTGGGTGGCTCAGTTGGTTAAGCATCCAACTCTTGATTTCAGCTCAAGTCATGATCTCACGGTTCATGAAATCAAGCCCCATGTCGGGCTGTGCACTGACAAGCCTGCTTGGGATTTTCTCCCTCTCTCTGCCTCTCCCCTGCTCACTTTCTCTCTCTCGATTTCTCTCTCTCTCTCAAAAATAAATAAACATTAAAAAAAAAAAAAATCAGGGGCGCCTGGGTGGCGCAGTCGGTTAAGCGTCCGACTTCAGCCAGGTCACGATCTCGCGGTCCGTGAGTTCGAGCCCCGCGTCGGGCTCTGGGCTGATAGCTCAGAGCCTGGAGCCTGTTTCCGATTCTGTGTCTCCCTCTCTCTCTGCCCCTCCCCCGTTCATGCTATGTCTCTCTCTGTCCCAAAAATAAAATAAACGTTGAAAAAAAAAAAAAAAATCAGACATCTGTTTTTTACAATTATTTACAAATTAGAGTCTACATAAAAGTTACCTAAAGATAATAGTTAAGCAAGCTCATTGCATTTTCTTTGTGGACAAATGCTAAAATATTCTTACACCAAAAAAAAAAAAAAAAAAAAAAAAAAAAAAAAAAGTATCACCTAGTACTCAAACAGGATTCACAGATTACATGATAATGGTAAGATGTATTAATGAATTTTCCTGATTAACGAGTCAGTTGCTTGAGAAAGAAAAATATGCTCTCCCTAATACAAAGTATTAAGATACAGTCACTCATTAAATTATTACTTACTTCACTTTCAGCAAAATGCCTCTCTCCCTTCAGGCACAGGGAAGACCGTCTCAGTGTCTTCTCATCTCCATCATCAAAAACTATGAGGAGGTAAAATTGGAAACTACTGAAGGATTTTTTCAAAGGTTAACAAGATGATATAAACTATCGTTTAATTTTCTGAGGGCAAACAGAACGATTGTTTAAGAAGATTACACTTAAAAACGTAGTTCACATTTTAGGTTTACTAAATGACAACGTTAAATTCTAAAGTATCTTTTCCAATTTCTAGTGATAAAGAAACAATATAGCTGAAATGAACACATTTCCTGACCCAGAAAACACCACATGAAAATAAGAAGCTAGCATTTTAGGAAGAAACTATTTAAATGCTAATTAACCCATCTCAATATTGTAAAGGAAAGGCAAGTTTTCCAGCTGGTAAATACAGACATCCAAAAAACAAGAACAAAAACCAGAACGAGTACAAATTTGTATATTCAGACTGCTCCTAAAAAAATTATTGTTTTTATTATTTAAAGCAGGGTTTCTAAACCTGAGTACTACTGATATTTTGGGGCAGGTTAATTCTTTGTCATGAGAGGCTATTCTGAGCACTACAGGCTACTTAGCAGCATCCCTGGCCTCTAGCCACTAGATGCCACTAGTGGCTTCCCAGTTGTGACAACCAAAAATGTTTCCTGCCAAAGACACTGTCAAAGGTTCCTTGGGTGACAAATCTGCTCCCCACTGAAAACTACTTAAAGTACTAAAATGTCCCAGAGAATTTACTGTAAGTTCATAGATACACAAAATATACATATATTTTATAATTTTAGCATATGCTGACCTTCCTCACCAATTATGGGGGAAAAATAACCCTATTTCAAATAAAGTTACTAAGCTTTGATTTTACTAGAAACAGCACTTCTTGCCTAAGTGACAAAACTGGTTCTTATATATTAAATGAGACTTTGTGAGACTGGATAAATAACTTTTAGTATGTTTTTTAAACGGTGCACATTTATGAGACTGACGACCATACATAGTTACCACCAAACTTACTTCCCAGAATTGCTCACAGTCTTGTAACCTACATAAGGTCAATTTTCTCATCTCAAATTAAAATCCCCCCTAAGTTTTTTTCTCATCCCACAAAAACATAAACAAAACTCATCTATACTATTTCCAAGCTCCATGAAATTCTGACATCATCAAAGACATTTTAACTAGGTGTCTATTTTCATCTATGAGGTCATTAAAGATTGGGGCGCCTGGGTGGCGCAGTCGGTTAAGCGTCCGACTTCAGCCAGGTCACGATCTCGCGGTCCGGGAGTTCGAGCCCCGCGTCAGGCTCTGGGCTGATGGCTCAGAGCCTGGAACCTGTTTCTGATTCTGTGTCTCCCTCTCTGCCCCTCCCCTGTTCATGCTCTGTCTCTCTCTGTCCCAAAAAAAATAAATAAACGTTGAAAAAAAAAATTAAAAAAAAAGACTATGAATTATTCCCATTCAATAAATAATGCCAGGATATTTGGCTATTGATTTGGCAGGTAGGGGAAATCTGACATTTCAAAATGTTCAAAAAACTGAACTGCAGGAGAAATAAAAAGCTATTTGCGGGGCGCCTGGGTGGCGCAGTCGGTTAAGCGTCCGACTTCAGCCAGGTCACGATCTCGCGGTCCGTGAGTTCGAGCCCCGCGTCAGGCTCTGGGCTGATGGCTCGGAACCTGGAGCCTGTTTCCGATTCTGTGTCTCCCTCTCTCTCTGCCCCTCCCCCGTTCATGCTCTGTCTCTCTCTCTGTCCCAAAAATAAATAAAAACGTTGAAAAAAAAAAAATTTAAAAAAAAAAAAAAAGCTATTTGCAAACCAAAAATAAAACTATAAATTGAAGAATACATTGGAAAATAAATTTATTAACACTGACAGAAGGAAGCCCTTTTAAACAAGATTCAACAAGGAAAACCACAAAGGAAAAGGTGATCAGAGGAAAACTTACACTGAAAATTGATAGCAGAGAAAAAAAGTAAAACAATAGGAGAAAAATACTTGCAACTAAAGGAACCAAGGGATAATAATATTCAGAATATATAAAGATCTCATATCCTATAAATAAGAAAAAGATAACCATCCCAACAGGAAAAGGGGGAAACTGGAAAGGCACTATAACATGCAATTCAAAAGAGAGAAAATACAAATGAAATGATGTCCCTTTCAATAAATATATGAAAAAATGTTCAGTCTCACTAGTAATCATGGGAGGGGCATATTAAAACAAAACTGAGATACTGCTTTGTATCCAGATGGGCAAAAATTTTACAGATTACCGACATCAAATTTTACAAGGGCTGGGAAAAGAAGTGCACTCACACACTGTCCGTGGAAGGGTAAATGAACAGTCTTCCAGGAAGGTGGTTTTCATTACCTACTAAATTTTAAAAGTACATTCATTTCACTTCACTCTGTGTCTACTTCTCAATATATACATATACTAGGGAAAAACAGGAATAACGTGTATTCAAGGAGACATTCAATCCACCATTTATTTTAATAGCAAGAAAACTGGCAACATCATGAGTTGAAAGTAAACAAAATTAAAAAAAAAAAAAAGAAGGGACACCTAGGTGGCTCATCGGGTCCAACTTCGGCTCAGGCATGATCTATGATCTCATGGTTGGTGGGCTCGAGCCCCACATCGGGCTCTGTGCTAACAGCTCAGAGCCTGGAGCCTGCCTTGGATTCTGTGTCTCCCTCTCTCTCTCTGCCCCTCCCCTGCTCACACTCTGTCTCTCAAAAAATAAATGTTAGAAAAAATTTAACAAAAAAAACTTATGGCACATCAAATATTATGAAACATACTACTATAATTAAAAGAAATTTCTCTGTTGCACAACATGAATATACTTACTACTGAAATATACATTTAAAAATGGTTAAGATAGGGGCGCCTGGGTGGCGCAGTCGGTTAAGCGTCCGACTTCAGCCAGGTCACAATCTCGCGGTCTGTGAGTTTGAGCCCCGCGTCGGGCTCTGGGCTGATGGCTCAGAGCCTGGAGCCTGTTTCTGATTCTGTGTCTCCCTCTCTCTCTCTGCCCCTCCCCCGTTCATGCTCTGTCTCTCTCTGTCCCAAAAATAAATAAACGTTGAAAAAAAAATTAAAAAAAAAAAAGATAAAAATGGTTAAGATAGAAAAAAGCTTCTCTTGAAAAGATACACCTCTTGAAGAGATATATCTCTTGAAGAGATATAACGATATACTTTGAAGTGAAAAAAGCTACAAATTCAACTTTATAATATATACGCTAATTTCAAATTATACTTTATGCACATATTTATGAAATAAACATTTTAAAGACCTGGAAAGATTAAAAAATTACCAGTAATAATATCTTTAGTATTACGGGAGGAACTAAATCAAGGAAATTTTGCTTTATTTGTATTACCTCTGAAAATACATTTTTAAAAGATTTATTCCCTTACCTACAGTGTACCAACTTGCGTCTGTTAATTTATTGATAACAGCTTCCTGATATGCACCATCAAGATTCTTCACTTCCACAATAGCTCCAACCTAAAAAGTTAGAAAAACGTTTAGAAGATAAAATTTAACTGAGTGCGTGGTGGTGAAGAATAAAAGTAACTAGTGATTTGTGTTAAAGTGCCAGCAGTTTAATGTACCACTGTCTTTGTGCCATCTGTGAAAATGTCAAAAAAGTAAATTCGTAAAAAAGTAAATAATATCTAAATACTGTTGTGAAAATAGTGTTGCCCTTACAACAACCTCCCTGAAAGGGTCTTGGGAGACCCCAGAGGTCCTCAGACCACACTTTGAGAACCACTATCTATGAAATTGACTGCCCTTGCCTCCTATTACCACTCCTCTTTCAAAGAGGCTGGGGAAGGAGAGAAACAGTTAAGAGCAAGCTCTGGCATCTCCTTAAGAGTTATAATTTACCACTAATGACAATCATTTCAAATATTTTCCATTCTGATCAAGAAAATGCTGAGAATTACATTTTTATGGTCTTTAACACTACATCAAACAGCTTCTGCACAGCAAAGGAAATCATCAACAAAATGAAATGGCAACCCACTGAATGGGACAAAATATTTGCAAATCATATATGTGATAAGGGGTTAATATCCAATTTACAGAGAGAGAGAACTCATACAACTCAATAGCAAAAACAAAAACAAAAAACACAACAAAAAAACCACACCAAAACAGTCCAATTAAAAACCGGGCAGAGGATGTGAGTAGACATTTTTCCAAAGATGACACGCAAATAGCCAACAGGTCCATAAAAAGATGCTCAACATCAGTAATCATCAGGGAAATGAAATCAAAACCACTGTAGGTTATCATCTCACACCTGTTAGAATGGCTGTTATCAAAGACAACAAATAACAAGTGTTGGCAAGGACATGGAAAGAAAACGGAACCCTCGTGCACTGTTGGTGGGAATAGAAAATAAACTGGTACAGCAACTATAGCAAACAGTATGGAGGTTTTTAAATTAAAAAGAAAACTGTGACCCAGCAATTCCACTAGTGGACATCTATCCAAAGAAAACGAAAACACTAATTCAAAAAGATATCTGCACCCCCATGTTCATTGCAGTATTGTTGACAACAGCCAAGATACAGAAACAACCCGAGTATCCACTGCTGGATGCACAGATAAAGAAGTACACACACACACACACACACACACACACACACAGGAATACTATTCAGCCATAAAAAGGAAGGAAACCTTGCCATTTGCAACAACATGGACGGACTCTGAGGACATTATGCTAAATGAAATACCAGACAGAGAAAGACAAGTATCAGATGGTATCACTTATATGCGGAATCTAAAAACCAAAACTAATAAAAAACCAGAAGCTCACAGATACAGAGAACAGACTGGTCATTTCCCAACCAGAGGGTGGGAAAGAAGTGGTGAGTGGATAAAATGGGTAAAAGTGGTTAAAAGGTACAAACTTCCAGTTATAAAAATAGTCCTGGGGACATATTGAACAGACAGCAATGGTTACTATAGTCAATAATACTGTACTGCATATTTGAAAGTTGCTGAGAGTAAATTTTAAAAGCCTCTATGACAAGAAAAAATTTTAACTGTGTATGGTGATGGATGTAATTAGACTTACTGTATGGATCAAACATCCAATCATCATATTGTATACCTTAAACTAATATAATGTTATATGTCAATCATACCCCTGAAATTAAAAGTATATATGATCTTTATGGTAATAACAAAAAACAAACTTGTTCAGAGAACAGAGTGTTAGCCCCACACAATGCCCAAAGTGGAGAAGGAAACTGGAGAATTACCAAAGCTTTTATCAAATGACTGTAGTCAAAAATACGTGGTACTATTTTTTTAATTTAATAAGTGGTCTAGGTATTATATTTCATGTGAACTCATCTGAAAATACATTAAGATCAAATGACCACCACTTTTGGTAGGTTTATTTCCTCTAAGAGAAACATTTACCCAAATGCTGACCCTTCCTATCAGGTAACAGAAAGCTATGAAGTATTTTAGGGAACAATACAAAATCTACACACACACACACACACACACACACACACACCAATCAACAGATAAAGAAAAATACTTTAACATCTTGACCTCAAAATTTAATATAGTTGCCTGTGTCAAAATCAAAATGGTACTAAGCCCTAATCACAAAGAAAATTGTAATAAAGTAAGAAAAACCAAACAAGTAAAATAAACCAGCTACACAAGGAGGTGGGAGCAGAAGGAGAAAAAGAGGGCTTGAGGTTACAAAGCAGTTGCCTACTCTATCTCTTCGCAACACTGAACACATTTTGCAGGTTGTACGAGCTGGCCCGTGCATGTGAACAGGGCAGAGTCAGTGAGAGCTATATGCTGGTGTGCTTATGAGGCAAAAACATAAACAAGGCATGAAAGTGTACGTATGTGTTCTGAACATCCAGAGGGCACGTGCTACAGTTACAGGGTGTGAGCCTATTGGAATTTGGGCTCTGCCGTTACTATCTGGAAAGGCCAGATTACTGGACCTCCCTTTAGTTTCTTCTTCTGTAAAGAGCTATTATGAGGATTATATAAGATAATGTGTGCAAAAGATTTAGCACAGTACTAGCACATACTAAGTGCTAAATAAATGGTGCCAAGCATCAAAAGTATAGTGTTTCGTCTCTTTTGTCCCTGCAATGGTGAATATGTGCGTGTCACATTAAAGATGGCACCTACGAAACAGAAATGGTGGAAAATAATTTTTATACGGCAAGATTTTTTAGAAATTATAAGCTTTAGTTCTCTCTATTGCCTCGCCTCCTAAGGCTCTGGGGATCCAATTAAAAGCCTTTAAATCAATCACAAACAACTGACAGATACACATATCTAATTCTCCAAAAAGTACAGCTGCATTGGTAAAGGATTTTTCTTGCATCTGTAAATTCTGTTAGCACTTCTTAAAATTCACCCAGCCAGGCCACTGCCCAATTTTCAGACATTCAGAAGGGCCAAAGAGCCCAGTGGCTACCCACACACTCCCTTTAGCTTGCTCACTAGTCGAGAGTAGAAGAGCCCTTATTTCAGCTACCAGTGAGGAAACATGAACGCAAACAAATACATCTGTATGTAACATGTTCATCACTTTAACTGCCTGATAACCCTTAAAAAATTTTTCATTTGCTTGTAGCTGCTTCAAAGGATTAACACTCTAAAAGCCACGTTTTTAACGTGTTGGGTTTTTTTCCCTCACTTTTCACATCATCATGGAACTTAACATCATTCAATCCCCAATTCATCACATATTAATTCTGGAAGTGAAATATGGTAAAACGGACAGATGAGTACACAAGAAGCAGTCAATGCCTCCTGGATGTTCACTTTATTCCTAAATGCAGGTTTTACTATCACATCAGGTTTCACTGAACATTAAATCTATTGTTTTCTACCGGTCTATTCAGAGAGAATTATGTTGACCAACTCAACAACAAAACAGCCAATGAATTAAAAAAAAAAAAAAATGACCAACTGTAATTATTAATGTAGCATTAATGAAGGAATTCTAATGCTTCCAATGAAGCATTAGAATTAATAATGAATAAATAAATGAATTACCTTTAGCGGGCCCTTTATGTGGTCATCCTGAACTTCCACTGTCGAAGAATCATGTCTAAATGTTACCTAGAGATCATAAATTTAATTAGCCACATATACACACAAAATCAAGTGATACAGGCTCATTAATGCATGATTTAATTTTCATTACGAGTAATCTAAACTAACTGCTACCTAGTGTATGTAAGATCTCAATCCCTAACTAAGTAAACTGAAATATTTATTTCAGAAAACTTCCGAGACGAAATTAGTTGGTGTTTCACATATCATACTCTACTCAACACTATTATTTATTACATTAGTAGTTTAATTTCTTTTCCTAAAAAATGAGGGGAAAAAAGGTAGAGACCTTAGGCAGTTAGGTCCTGTATAATTCTGTGAAGGCCTAGTTTAATAATAAGCAGTAACAACAAACATTTACTGAGAGCTAAGCATCAGGCTCAAGCATCAAATGTATGACCTTATTAGGTAAGTATGATTGTTCCCACTTTGTTGATAAGAAAACTGAGGAGCATAAAGAATAAGTAACTGGTCCAAGATCACAGAACTGGTACATGGTGGCACTGAGATTCAAACTCAGGCAGTCTACCTCCAGAAGTTTACTCTACTCTCTATCAGTATAGCAATCAGAGAATGGGAAACCAGATGTAAGGAGATTAAGTTAAAAATACAGTTCAAGTTTAAATATTTAATTAGCTGGTGAAAACTAGGATAGCTTCCAGTATTCAGTATAGAAAAAGTTGTTCTTCCTATACAAAGCAAGAATTCTTACAGGAATTGAAACATCAACATGGTCTTATCAGATATGTAGGATAACCAATTTACATAATTTGCTCACAAAGGAGCTATGAAAAGAGATGCCCGGTACTCACAGCATCTCAGGCGTTTCTGTCTTACACAAAAGCATTACCACATTTCATTTAAAGTATGTATTTAAGTATCTCTGTCACTCACTTAGACTTGAAGTCAATTTATGACAGGGATCAGATTTTAACACTAGAGTTTCAACACCTAACATAGGGCTTAGCACACAGATGCACAATAAATGAAAACTGATGAGGAAGAAGTTTATCAACAAACTGTTAAATGCGTGTTAACTTTGAATCATATACAAACTAAACCAGTATCAAAATTTACCACTGTATCTGCTGAGAAAATAATTAACTTTGAATCATACACAGATTTTTAGAGCAGCCAAAAAAATTAACAATTTTAGATATTCGTTATTTACAAGACACACAAGACACAAGGTACTGGTATGATGTACTATCAACAGAGGCAGTAGAGACTAACAGTTTTCTTCCTTTTATTAATAGCAAGAAATGGCAGGAGTGATACATGCCATTTAGCTGCTTCATTCATTAAACAGCAGCATCCAGCTGAGAACTCTATGTCAGGGCTAAAATCTAGCCTGAGCCCTGCAGACCAAAGCATGGGTCCTAGAGTATAACTGCTCCTGTCCAAAAGAAACACCTTTTTCTAACTAATATAAAAGTCTTACCTGTAGGCCATGCTCTGCTAAGGAGACTATCCACCAGGATGGAGGACTTTTGTCTAATTCACACTAAGGTGTTACCTGTGCTGGTAGGAGCCCTGTCTAGAAGAGTGAGGAACCAGATAAAAGGCTTCCTCTTCATTTCTGAGATAGCAGTGGCAAAAAAAAAAAAAAAAAATGAGTGCTCAGGTAACACCGGTGTGTGAAACCAGAACAGGAAATGCCACTATATGAACACTGTAAGAGTACCCACAAAAATCAAATCACAAAAGAGCTCACATGCACCATGCACGTGAAAACTGAAGGCAGTGGCAGGGCCAAGACTAGATTCCTATGGGTTTACAGTTAATTTAAAGGTCTTATAACAATGGATCTTAACTAGGGGTGTAAGTGACCCAGGAAGCTGTTTTCCACACATCCATGCATAAAAACCTAAGTATATATAAGCAAGGGAAAAACTCCGGAAGAGAATCTAAACTCTCCACCAGACATACAACACCTCTATGGCCTGTTTAATAACTGGTGATATTCAAACCAGTGTTTTACAGAGTATCTGCTAATCTGGACTACATAAATCCCTTGAGGACAAAGATCAGGTCACCCTCATAGCCCCACCCTCCTTCCCACCTAACAGGTTACCACTCAGTAAATAACTGACAAATGAATAAACATCTACCTTCAAATATTTTACCTGTGCTATATTTTTCAACACCGATAATTTACCAAAATGTAAACAATTACATTCTGCATTATCTGAGAAAAACACAAGTACTTAAGAAAGACAGAGGATAAGGAAATCAACTAGATCTACCTTATTTTACTGTTATCTAAAATCTCATCAATTATAAATCACATTTCAATTTGATGGTTAAAATGGGAAGGGGAGGTCTAAAATTAAGAATTAAACTGCATGACTTCTAAGGTCCTTTCCAGCTCTAAAAGGTTAACAACACAAACAGTACCAAGTCCATAGCAAAATAGCATTCAAAATACCAATTTGTAATAAGCTAACTTCATTCCAATCAGAATACTTTAAAATGCCAAATAATGCGTGCTCGCTTCGGCAGCACACATACTAAAACTGGAACGATGCAGAGAAGATTAGCATGGCCCCCCTGCGCAAGGATGACGCGCAAATTCATGAAGCTTCCACATTTTTGACAAAATCTCAGAAATAGACATTGTTAAAGATCTGATGAGAGTTCATTATGATGCAACTGACAACGAAATTTGGTTATTTCTGTGACATATAACACTATAAGTAATCAGAATGTTAAGTGATGACCTTATACCAAAACATTAAAACTTTAGGAACTGCATATATATTTGGGCAGTTACAGCATTTACCTGTGCAATACAACCTAAGGTTTACCACTGGACAACAGTGCTTTTCCAAGTAACTTAGCATCCCAAATAAAAAGTCCTAATTGGTCAAAAAGAACTTTAAAAAAATAAAAAATAAAAATAAATAAAAATAAAATACCAAATAATGCTTTGTTTTCGGGTATGTGACAACCATTATATAGAAACTAAAGTCATCTTGCAGGGAAATAAAGTCTTAAGTACACTCATCAAATAAAAGTTTAAATATCAAATACTGACCGTATAATTTATAAAATCTACATATACTGTACCTTGACTTTGACAAGTCTTTTTGCTGTCTTGATCTTGGCTTCACAAAAGGCTCCTCTGTATTTAGCACTCACATCAGTGCCCACTGTCAAATAGGGAGGCTCATCAAGGGCCTAAAAAATGCAAACAAATATAATTAGATTTAAACTCTAATTCTCTGGTACAATTAGACCTCCGAATGGCAGATCTAATCTTGTTACAGCTACAAGAGTTGTAATAACTGAATGCAATAATGTGTTAGTGAGAACCGTTTGTAAAATACTTTAACTTAAAAATAAGTAAAATCTATGTATCAAAAACCCATTTAGGGGCGCCTGGGTGGCGCAGTCGGTTAAGCGTCCGACTTCAGCCAGGTCACGATCTCGCGGTCCGGGAGTTCGAGCCCCGCGTCGGGCTCTGGGCTGATGGCTCAGAGCCTGGAGCCTGTTTCCGATTCTGTGTCTCCCTCTCTCTCTGCCCCTCCCCCGTTCATGCTCTGTCTCTGTCTGTCCCAAAAATAAATAAACGTTGAAAAAAAAAAAAATTTAAAAAAAAAAAAAAAAAAACCCATTTAGGGGTGCCTGGGTGGCTCAGTCAGTTGAGTGTCCAACTTCAGCTCAGGTCATGATTTAGCGGTTCGTGGGTTCGAGCCCCACGTCGGGCTCTGTACTGACAGCTCAGAGCCTGGAGCCTGCTTCAGATTCTGTGTCTCCTTCTCTCTCTGCCCCTGCCCCACTTGTACTCTGTCTCTATCAAAAATAAGTAAATGTAATTTAAAAAAATTTTAAAAACCCATTTAAATGTATGTCATATGGGGTGCCTGGGTGGCTCAGCAGGTTAAGCGTCCAACTTCAGCTCAGGTCAGGATCTCGCAGTTCATGAGTTTGAGCCCCATGTCGGGCTCTGTGCTGACAGCTCGGAGCCTGGAGTCTGCTTCGGATTCTGTGTCTCCCTCTCTCTCTGCCCCTCCCCGACTCACGCTCTGTCTCTCCCTGTCTCTCAAAAATGAATAAACATTAAAGATACTTTTTTTAATCAACATATTTATCATATAAAATAAAAATGCATTTTTGCTCTATATAAAATGCATATAGTCCATGATATGAATCAGCTTAATCACAAGTTTATCATTCCATCCACCCTTCCATCTACTCATTCATTCAAATATTCACATACTATATGACCACCTAAAGAGAAGGCAGATCCTTAAAAGTTTAAAGTCTAAGAAAATTTCTTTTAATATTTAGACTGTATCTTAGTAGCTACCCAAATTCAGAATAGCTTTGTCATAACCCTATCTAGACAATTCTAAGGCAGAATAACGTAACACAAAGGGAGTGGGAGGAATTACATGTATTCAAACTACTGGAGAAAAAACTATATGAAGATTTCTAATCTGGGAATTCTTAAATACTCTGGCATGGGTTCACTGTTTATTTACCCATCTATATTAAAATTTTTAATTTCTTCACTTAGGATTTAGTTTTATTCTGTGTGTGTGATTTAGTTTTTAATAGTCCTAATCTAGCTGCTCTGACTTTTTACAATCAGGTACATTTCTGTGTAAAATCTAGAAATCTAAGAAGTTTTGCTTATATTAATCAATTTCACAATCAAAGAAAGATTATGTGAGTAACTTTTCCCAAAGTGTTTTACAAGAAGTACTAATATCCTGAGATACTCCACCAACAAGAGAAGGAGGAGAGAATTTGGGAAAATCAGTTTATTGAATAAATCCCTACTCTGCCTCATCATTTCCTTATCTGTTTGTCCAAGGAAACTTTTTTTTTTCTATTAACATCTATTAACATTCTGCAGAAATTCCATAGAACATAAGATAGAAAATGCTATTAATACAGCAGTGAATGATGAAAATATAAATTTCACTTGGGTCTTAAACTCATTCCAATAGTTGTGGCTAATACACATGAGAGTGATAAAAAAAAAAAAAA